AATTGCTGACAGATAGTCTATGAAGCAGAATATTTTATGCCACCGTGATTAGCTCGTTGAACTCGAAAAGTCGTCATAAACTCGATTGAAAATGAAGAGTGACACTTAGTGACCTTTCTTCATTAGTGTCGAGTATTTTGACTAAAAGAAAGATACATCAAAATACATAAGTACAATCAATTTTCCATTTTTTGTTTTTATTTGATAATAAGAGATTTATAACATACTCTTATAAATGCATCTGACTGTTTTATATTGAATAATTAGATTGATTAAAAATATTACAGTTTATGACATATTGTTTATTTAATGTATGGAGATATTATAGTCTCATGAGAGTATTTCTTTTTTTTTCTTTGCTATAGTTAAAATATGATTAAAAATAGTTTTTGGTATAATAAAATTTTTAAAGTATAATTTTATATTCACTTAAATGTTTAATATTGCTGATCAAGTATCAAAATATTTCACAAAGTTTCTTAAAAATCAATAACTGACTAAATAAAATGAATGAAAAAGAAATAATATTTCACCTTCTTATCATCTTCATTATTATGATTCGAAAAATTATTATTTGCTATTATTTGAAGATGTTGTATTTTTGTATTTGATTCATTATTATGTAGTCTAAAATAATTTCTTATTATATAAATAATTTAAAAATAAATAATTCAACAAACTCTGTTAAAGATAATTCTTTAAAATTTTCATCTTGTATTTCATTATTAGCCATGATTGTTACTACCTTTGATTGATGATTAGTAGATCATTACAAATAAACCTTTCACTCTCCTACTAACTGATAATTCATATTGAGTCATATTTAACTTAAATTATCAGCGAATCGACAAAAGCGCTACAATCAATCATTATTAAACATATAAATAAACAAACAATCATTGACAATTGAATTGAAATTTTTGCAATATGATAGTTAATATTGAGTTGAAATAATCAGTACTTTTTAGAGTGTTGAAGCTGATCTATTTGTATCGATTTAAGTTTAAATTTGCAAATCTTCAATGGAGGTTCTGTGAAATGATTGAATTATGATTATTAAAAAAAGAATTAAATCAGATAAGCGTTTCTATTTCGAGCTCATTTTTTTTTCACTGTTATCTCATACAAATATAGCAATATCTATGTACTCAGAAACCTAAAAAACAAAAATGAAGCCTAGTATGAAAATCAAATTTTATCGCATATTTTGTTTTGCTATCAACATCAGTGACTTTTGAGAAACCTTTTAGTTCTGTTAAATAATGATTTCTAATTATAAAACATTAGATTTATTCATTCATGTGAAGAAATATTATCTTTCTTAATGAAAACAAAGTATAGATGTTATTTAATAAGAGTTTTATATTTTTATACATTCGGAGAGCTACAGTCATTAACGTTTTTTTGTTGGGAGGGAAAAACAAGTAATTGAGAAATTGATTCATTCAAATTTATGAGTGTTTTTTTGTTTTGGTGATTAAATCGAATTATTTAATCGATCCATCTGATTGATTTCAAGTATGGATTATATTCTACTTCAAAATTTCTCTCTTAATAGCATCTACAACTTTATTTCTAGCTGACAATAAATGTTTTTTTATACTCAGTATAGTATCGATTAACTATATTTGATAAAAAGTAGACGTATTTACTATGTCTATTCACTCGTTGTTTTAACAACCGATGTAATTCAAGAATATAGATTAAACTATCAAATTTTAACTTGTTATCGTATAATCTAATACTCTGATTCTTTTTTTTTGCGATTTCTATTGTATCATTGACAATATATATATATATATGTTCATTGTTATTATTGTTTTTTTGTCAACAACAGCTGGATATAAATGATCTTGACACAAATTATACTAGAAATAACATTAAAAGCGACATCAATATATGTAACTATTCATAGTCTATTACCATAAGATATGGTAAAATGGTTTCAGTTCTCGTGAGACTAGAATTAACATTCTATCCTTTCGAGCGATGTTTCTTATTGTTGTATAGAATTTAAATCAAATGTCATTATGCTACGATTCATGTATTCTTAATAGTTATAGACAAGATGATTTTGTTTCATAATATCACCAGAACTGAAACCAAAATATGATTGATCCTATGCATGGCTAGTTACGATTCAATTCTTTTTCATACAATGTAATCGATATGTCTATTTGCATTGTTAGAACAAGATTGCATAGCGAATGAGTAAAACTAAGGGATCAATTTTTTTTTTTTGCTTGGCCTTCAGTTGTTGACTTTTAAACGTCAACAATCGATTTATCATAGACAAATATGAGAGAATAGTTTAACTAAATCAAATAATAAGACAACTGATAATATTATCCGTACGGATAGACGTTAAATATTTGTAAAATAAAATTGAATGAATATGAAATTTATTGACATGAATAAATTTTGAATTTATTATTTTACTAATAATACAATATCAAATTTATAATCTTATTTTGTTTTGTTTTATTTTTCAAAAAAAAATGTATTCATTAACCCAAATGAATATGATTAAAAATATCTTCATTCCAATTTTCATAACATATATCAAACCCTTTTTTTTTAGAGCAGATGTCACTGTTTATATGATTATTCTTCTTTCATATATGAATCAAATTCATATTTAAATACCTATACAACTATCTAAAGAGAACTTTAACTCTTTACACAAAAACATTGTCTATAATTATTTATCATTGATTGTAGCGCTATGATTGATTTTTTTCTATTCATATTTTTTGAGGTCGTCCAACATGATTGATGGCAGATGATGATAGAATATATATATCCAGACATATATACATCCATTAACTACGATTGTACGCGACATATCTAACCATCATGAGCCTCTACAACAATAAAATAAAATGAATTTAAATGATGAAGAAGATGATTTGTTTTTTAATCAACATTGCCTTGAATTAGCTAAATTATTACGTACTGAACAAACAGAAGATTTTCTTCATCTATACGATAGTTTACCATCAGAATGGAATGGGTCTCGAGTGAGTAATATTCTCGTATCCTATTTTAGATTTTTTCTAGATCATATTTTATAATATTTTGATGACGAATATCTACAGCTTGAAAAAGCCAAAGAAAATATTCGTCAATTACAAGAACTCGACAATAACGAATTTGAACTTATTTATCAACGTATATTTCATAATAAAGAAAAACAACAACAACAACAACAACAACAACAACAACAAGAAAATCCTTCAATTATTCTTATGTCACAATCATCAATGATTCATAATGATGAAGAAACAAGACATGATATATCCTTAAAAAATTCTTCATCTATAAAGTAAATTTAATTATTATTATAATTATTTTCTTTTTCTCTTTAATAAATTATTTTTAGACGAAATAATGATGAAACAAATATAAAAACACGACGTCTTCAATCAATAACTAATAATAATTCACATGTTATGTTACAAAATAATTGTCAAACACGTACACCTGTTGATTCGTTTGTTCAATTAAATCTTAAACCACCTATTGATATTACAGTAGAAGATTATAAGAAAGTAAATAATATTTTCATTTTATTTATTGTTTTTGTGTATTTTCAAATTTGAATATCTATTCAATATGTTGAAATTATTGTCATAACATATATCATTATATTAGAGAAAATGATTGGTTTATTGTTGTTGTATGCCTTTCTTTAAGTATAGATGCACTGATAGGTGTATATGTGTTTATATATATATGTGACAACAGGTTTACATGTTACTAAGGCACAGAACGACGAATAACAATGATATGTCTCCAGTTTTTTTTCTTCTTTTTTTTTTTTTTTTTTTCTCTTTCCTTTCATAGTATGCCTTTTTTTAGACAAAGGGTCCAATGTCTACTACCAAAACCAGTAATACCAATAATAGACTTACTGTATCTCAATTAACTGATACGAATCAATCGAATATAAAACAAACAAATGAACTTAAAAAATCTAGATCATCTATAAAAAATAAATCTCATGAAGAAGCAAGTTTTGATTATTTTTCAAAAATGAATAATGCTGATGATGATGATGATGATGATAATAGACAACATTTACGTTCATTATCATCATCACCAATAACAATGATAACGACAAATCGACTTATAACATCATCAAATACAAATAAAAATGATTTATCAATTAATCAAACATATTTAAAATCAAAATCATATGAACATAGTAAATTAATTCCTAATAATGATTTTGATTCTCATGGTTCATCAATAGCAACAAAATCATCATCAGAAAATAGTGGAAGTACTCAAAATGGTTCAGCATCAGATAGTGATGATGAACATAGAAAACAAATATATCCATCAACAAAAAAATCTTCTCTACTATCAAATACAAAAATATTACATAATGATGATACACCAACAATAGTGGTAAATAGAAATTTATCTTATAATATATTAAAATTAATAAAGAAAAAACAAATTTTTTTTTTTTTTTTTTTCTAACATAAATTTTAGTTAAAAAAAACCAGCGATCATCGAACTAGTCAACATGATCGTATTTCATCTTTACGTAAGTAGTTTTTTTTTCTTCTTCTTCTACGATAACGATGAGAACGAAAGGGAATGTGTGAGAGAGAGAGAGAACAAACAAAAATTTATTCTAATAAAATATTTTTTATGATTTTTTTTTAGCTCAACAAGATAGTTATGAATTGGTTCAATTAAATACTAATGATGAACAGACTGTATGTGCTAGTCAAGTACCTCGCTTTAAACTACCTGCTATTGATGGTATGTACTGTTTTATTTGGTTTTTATGTATCAAACGTCGATTGTTTTTTTTCACATTATGTGTGTGCTTGTTATGTATTGAATAGGAGAGTAATTTCTGATGATTTTGAAATGACTAGGCAAAAAAGAGTATATATATATATATGTATCTGTATATATGTATATGTGAGTCATACTCTTGTTTTTTTTTTTTATATCATCGAAATCGACGTAAAAGCTAGGAGAAGGAAGAAAGAACGAACGAACGAACGAACGAGGCGAGAGATACTATATTGCAAAACTACATTATAGTATTGATACAACCACAGCATCTTTTCTTTCTCTTGTCGTCGACAACGACCGACTGAATAGTAGCCCTCTCTCTTTTTTACATTCTTATCTCATTTTTCGATATAATTACCACACCCTCAACGTTTTCGTCATCCATCCAGTTCAACATACGATAAAAAAAACCAGGTATACATATCTAAAACTCATCATGATTCGTTCAGTATTCTGGCAGATATGTCAGATCTATTCAATATATGGTTTTGGCCGTCAATAATGTTTTTATATTATAAATTATCCGATAGTGTCAACTATAATTTAAATGGTGGTAAGAGAAAAAAAAACGCACAATAATAACACAAAAGAAATATCTAAACTAAAATTTTAAAAAAACAATAGAAAAAGAAAAACAAAATATAATTTTATTTATATTTCTTTATTTGATTTTTTTCTCTTTATATTTTACAGATCCAAACGGCATTAATAATTCAACTAACGAAATTCTTTCTTATACGGCACAAAGGTCTCAACAAAATAATTTGTTATCATCTAGTCATCAAAATCGGTAAAAAAAAAATAATTTTCTTTATATATTTTTAAATAAAATAAAACTATTTCGATTTTTCTTTTCTTCTAGAAATCCCGAATATCATGAGCAATATAATACCAACCATTCCAGTTCATCACGTAAACCTACAATTCGACCACCTAAAAAACGAAAACAAGTATGAAAAAAAAAGAAAAATTTACATCTTGGATATAATGTATGAAAAAAAAATTCTGAAATTAGATATATATTTAAGAGTAAAAATCTGTAATTACGATTGTATTGAGAAATTGGAGCTCTTAAGGTAAAATTCAACATATCGATAAAATTTCTACAAAAGAGTGTAATCTTTCGAAGGTTATCAGTTGGTCAGGGACAGATAACAAGGTCGATCAAATTCCATGAAGGCATTGACCTCCTTTTTTTTGTCGAGATTACACTTATTTTCTGTCAAAAACATTTTATTTTCATAGATATATAATAAGTTCTTAAAATTCAAAAATAAGATTGACAAAACTGTTCAAGATATAGAAGAATATTTTCTTTGATTATTGTGTATTAATTTTTAAATTAAAACTTTTCTTTTTTTGTTTTCTATTAGTCACAACAACAAGAAATAATTCGTACAGAATTAATACCAGGTCATCGTGGTGATCTTGACGTTGATGAACTTGTTATGTTTATTGATGGTAATTCAACAACAAAACAAAAACAACGACATAATTCAGCACCATTACGTCCAACAGATACAAATAAATTTAAAACAATATCATCATTACCTGATACAAATAGTAATATAACAACAACAACAACAACAACAACATCTCGAAGAAAATCTCGTAAACCAATTAAAATTATACAAGAACCAATTAATAATAATAATGAAAATAAAACATCACAAATTGATGAAGATATACAATCTATTGAATTTATTGATGATGATGCTGATGATACAACAACAATAACAACAACACATTCCATCAATAATACATATAATGAAAAAAATACAACGAATATATGTCTTCCAAATGATGATGAATCTCATTCAAATATAGTCGATATTGATACTACTAATGATTCTAATACAACTGTAAGTTACGAAATTTTTATTTTTTTTTTTTAAATCTGTATTAAATATTAAGTTGAATATAATAATAATTCGATTATTGATCTTATTAAAGAAATATTAACTTGTAATCAAAAAAAAAAATACATATGTAATAGTGTAAAATAATTTTTTTTTGTAATTTTTATAAAACAAACTTTATCAATGATATTCTATTGATCAATGGATAAAGAAAATTTTCAAAAATCAAGAATATTATATTCAATATTTATTTAGAATAATGCATAAAAATTTTCTTTTTTTTAATAATGACATATCCGAACCAAATATTTGTTCTTATTACTGACGATATACCCAGCGGAATATTATCGATTTATTGAATAATTTTCATCTAATCATATGAATTAAAACTTCAAATAGAACTACAAAAATCTTTATTATATTATTTTTTTTTTTATAATTTCTATTCAACCCTATGTCAATAATAAATATTGCATAGAACAACACAAAAAGAAATACAAATTCATTTACTATAATAAAAAAAGTATTTTAGACGGATTGAAAACTTCGAACAAAAAAAAAAAATTATTTAAAACTTGATAACTTAAATGTGTGATTGAAAAAACAAAAATATTTTTTTGTTTTTAGAATGGTGAGACATCATTACCCGAATGGTTAGAACCTTTAAGTAGTACATCTCCAGCAAATACTAATGATATTGATTCATTTTCATTATCATCAACAACAATAAATAATTTGAACAGTGAAATTATGTCTGAACCATTTGTAACTGTAACACATCGTCGTCGTTTTACAAAAGAACGTCGTCAAGATAATAATTTATTATTATCATCATCTTCATTACGATCATCTCGTTTACCATTATCTTCAAATATAAATGATAAACGTCGTTTTCAATCATCAACATTAACACAAAATGGAATTTTACGTCCAACAATACGTAATAGTCTTTCAAATATAAAACCATTTATTTCTACAACAACAACAACAATAACAAAAGAAGAAAATATAAATAGAATTTCTTCATCACCACCTCCATCTTCACAAACAATATCTCAAATATCAGTACAACCAATAACAACATCATCGTCACCACTACAACCACCACCACCACCACCATCATCATCATCATCATCCGTATCAAATCATGTTATTGAACAATCATCACCTCGTTTATCATCTCATTCATCATCATCATCATTACCATCATTAATTAAACGACAATCAAAACCTCCACCTGTAGTTTTTCTAAATAAATCTATAGATATTGAATTAAATGATGTTTCATTTGGTTTTGATGTTGAAAATTCAATATCTGATAAACCAGAAACACCAATACAATCACCTATACCTATTGAAAAAGAAATTGAAAATGAATCTAATATATTATCATCTTTACAAATAAATGATTCATCAATAAATTCAAAATCATCATCTCGACGTTCCTATCAACAACAACAACGAAATAATCGTGGATTATTATTCTATTCTGGTTCTGATATACGTCCACAACAACAACAACAACAACAACAACAACATAGAAATTATTCATCACAATCATCTTATGTTGATCCATTACTTTTATTACAATATAATCAACAACGTTGTGCAGCTAATTATTCTCAACAATTAGCTTATATGAATTTATTACGTACACAATATTTATCATCACAATCTCAATATGTTCTTATTCCAACAACATATCCAACACCACCACCACCACCAACAACAACAACGAATGATATTGAACAAGATGAAAAAAATCCTGATGAAGAAATAAATCAAACATCTGAACAAATTCAAGAACCATTACTTGTTTATGCAACAATACCAACACAAACAGGACCAATTTATATTCAACCAACAAAAAAATCTTATTATGATGTTGAACAATTACAACAAACATCTATGTCAACAATTTATCCAACACAATATTTTTATTCAACACAAACACAACATATTATTCCATCACATACAGCTTATTTTCAACCAATATCATCACCATCATTATTAATTGATACTAAATCTCAACAAGATAATACTGAGGATGATGATGATGATAATAATAATAATAATAATGATAATGATTATGAAAAATCAACAAGATTATTTCATCAAACACAACAACAACAATCATCATCTCATATTATGTCTAATGCATTACAACTTGTTTATAGTCAAGAAAGACGAAATGTACAAACAGATCGTTTTAATCTTGATCAATTAACTGCTTATTTAGCGATGAAATGGACAGATACTATAAATCATTATGAACAAGGTGAGATTTGTTTTTTTTCGTTTGAATTATAAATAACAATATCTACTACTTTATTTTAAATTTTCTTCTTTGAAGAGATAATTTAAAGATCCGAAAAGAGCATTACTATATGAGATACTGCATTCGAGAAAGAAAAAATACGCATAGTCTGATTCTTTAGATCCTAATAAATGCTGTTAGATTCTAGATTACGCTCTAACGCATACTGTTGCAAGATTTTGCAAAGCGCTTGTTATGCCACCCTATGGTTTAGGACTTTATGGGAAACACTGTAAAACGAATTAGCCATGATTAAAAATGTTCACAGTACAAAACTCGAAGAAAGCATGCGACGCGTCTAAGCATGAACTATAGCGCGAGGTTAACTCGTGGATTTCTGTTATAGATGTATAGAATAAGCGTTTTTCATATATGGATCCTAGGATCCACTATTTCTCTCTGCCTCCATCAGTTTAACGAGCAGACATGATTTGAATCAGTCGCGTTGTGGTCAGGGATCGAAAGTATCGTACTCAGAGCTGTAAGTAATATACTGGTCCAATCCTACACGGAACTTAATTTTTTAAAAATCTAATTGTATTCACATAGGAATAAACAGAAGTAATAATGCCACCAGAGTTTTTAGCCTTCTCTGCGAATTCACGTGGACTAATATTCGTCTCAACTCTAAGGTTATTTTGAAGTTATAGAATGAAAATGTCCGATTTCGATCATGACTTTGTTTTTTCAATTTCTTAATAAGTTTTTCTTCGCAATTCATCCGATCAAAAATTATAGTAAAACTTCTTATAATAAACATCGTCATTTGACTTTTGTGATGGACATTATCGAAGAGAATTCGCTAAAACAACACCAATGAAACAAAACTTAATAAATCTTGAAAGGATTTCTTTTAGACAAAACTAGAATTTTCAGTTTATGTAAATATTCTTTTTTTCTACTTTAGGCGATGATGAGATATTATTAATGGGTGAACAATAATCAAATAAATTTTTATAATAATATTGTTTTCTTTTTTTCTTTCATCAAAAGAAAAATCTTACTCAAGCATTCAATTGAGAATGGAATTAAATTCTATCATATATATTATTGGTATTCTTTCTTGTTGATTGAACGAGTGTGACGAATTTTCGTTTTTTTTTTTTGTTTTTTCGTTTTTGTTGTTTTTCTTTTGACGACGATGAAATTTCGTGTGAACTTCAAGCTCAAACATTTATCTTATATATGTTGCTATTTATATGCAACTTTTGACCTTACTTTTTTTTTTTAATGTACAAAAAACAAAACACGCAAACTACAACTGTTCATTTTTGTTTGTTTGTTAACCCTTCTTTTTTTTCCTTTCTCTCTATATATACATATATGTGTGTATTTGTGTTGTTTTTTTTTTATTATTATGACAAGTAGTACATGAGTCCTTTCGTTTCTTTTTTCTTCTTGTTGTTGTTGTTGTTGCCCAATGTGATAACATTTTTTTTTTCTTGTTTATGTGTGACACACTACACCACTTCCTTTTGATTTCTATTTTCCAAGAAGATGCACTAAGCTTCTCTTGTTGTATATGACATTGATTTAAAAAAAAAAAAAAAGAAAAACAAATTCTTGGGCAAACTAAATGTTTAACCGTATCAAAACAGTATTTTCTATCGATGATAAAAAATACGTATAGAAAAACTAAATAAAATAAACAAAAACCCAGATTTCTTCTTTTCTTTTTGTCCCGTTTGTGTACTTTGTATTTTTTTTTTTTTGTTGTGTTTTTCTTTCTTTCGTCTTTGGCCGAGTGATATATATTTGTGAGCGTGTTCTCTGATTATGTCTTTTGTTATTTCTCTACAACAATAAGTTTTTACAAGACAAATTTTGTCATAGAGGATGAGTTAAAAAAAAAATTTTTGTAGTTTATATATGAATTGACAAAACAAAACAATGCTATTGAACAAGCCACACATCAGGAGTAAAGAGACACGTTATGGCGAGCTTCCAAATACGTGTTCTTCGTTTCATTTTTCTTTTTTTTCGTTTTGTTTTTGATCAACGTTATACTAATCTATCTGTACGTTTGTTTTTTTTTTCTAACCAAGAATGTACTTTTTTTTTTTCTTTTGTTTACTTACTTTATTGCGTATGTGTGTGGATATATGTATATGTATGTGTGCTGTTTTGTTCGCGCTCCTGTAAATTTTGCATCTTCAATAGCGTTTTCTTTTGTCCTTTCGCATTTATCATCGCTTTGTTAGTTACTACTGTTGATTCTTTTTCCTCTTCTATGTATCTTTTTTTTTGTTCTCATTCTTTTGTTAATTGGGTTTATTGTATTACACTCGACTTCTTTCTCATCCCATATACACACACACACTTTTTCCTGTAACTCTATTTTGAACAACATGCACACATAAAAACAAAACAAAATAAAATAAACAAACAGGCTTACGAATTATT